GAGAGCGAGAGAAAGAGATAGAGCGAGAGAGAGCGAGACCGGTAGGTATTATAGTACACAGAGTCTGTAATACCTACATGTTTCAAGCAGACCACCATAGTTCCTGTGCCCAAGGAAGCGAAGGTAACCTGCCTAAATGATTACCGCCCCGTAGCACTCAAATCGGTAGCCATGAAGTGCTTTGAAAGGCTGGTCATGGGTCACATCAACACCATCATCCCGGAAACAGTGGTCTAAGGCACTGGGCGCACAATTGACTCAGCCTCGTCCAGGGTAGGGAAGGGAATGGTTGGCAGGGATGTAGCTCAGTTGGTAGAGCATAGCGTTTGCAACGCCAGGGTTGTGGGTTTGATTCCCATGGGGGGCCAGTATGAAAAAAATATATAATAATAATGTATGCACTCACTAACTGTAAGTCGCTCTGGATAAGAGCGTCTGCTAAATGACTAAAATGTCAAATGTAATACCGCCCCAACAGATCCACGCAATCTCAATCGCACTCCACACTGCCCATTCCAACCTGGACAAAAGGAACACCTATGTGAGAATGCTGTTCATTGACTACAGCTCAGCGTTCAACACCATAGTGCCCACAAAGCTCATCACTAAGATAATGACCCTGGGACTAAACACCTCCCTCTGCAACTGGATCCTGGTCTTCCTGATGGGCCGCCCCCAGGTGGTAAGGGTAGGCAACAACACATATGCCACGCTGATCCTCAGGGGTGCGTGCTTAGTCCCCTCCTGTACTCCCTGTTCACCCACGACTGTGTGGCCAAACATGACTCCAACACCATCATGAAGTTTGCTAATGACACAACAGTGGTAGGCCTGATCACCGACAATGATGAGACAGCCTATAGGGAGGAGGTCAGAGACCTGGCAGTGTGGTGCCAGGACAACAACCTCTCCCTCAATGTGAGCAAGACAAAGGAGCTGATCGTGGATTACAGGAAAAGGCGGGCCGAACAGGCCCCCATTAACATCGACGGAGCTGTAGTGAAGCGGGTCGAGAGTTTCAGGTTCCTTGGTGTCCACATCACCAACAAACTATCATGGTCCAAACACACCAAGACAGTCGTGAAGAGGGCACGACAACATATTATACCCCTCAGGAGACTGAAAAGATTTGGCATGGGTCCCCAGATCCTCAAAAAGTTATACAGCTGCACCATCGAGAGCATCCTGACCGGTTGCATCACCACCTGGTATGGCAACTACTCGGCATCTGACCGCTACATAAGGCCCTACAGAGGGTAGTGCGTACGGCCCAGTACATCACTGGGGCCAAGTTCCTGCAATCCAGGACCTATATACTAGGCGGTATCAGAGGAAGGCCCAAAAAATTGTCAAATACTCCAGTCACCCAAGACTGTTCTCTCTGCTACCGCACGGCAAGCGGTACCGGAGCGCCAAGTCTAGGACCAAAAGGCTCCTTAACAGCTTCTACTCCCAAGCCATAAGACTGCTGAACAATTAATCAAATGGCCACCCGGACTATTTATATTGACACTGCTGCTACTCACTGTTTATTATCTATGCATAGTCACTTTACCCCTACCTACATGTACAAATTACCTCTACTAACCTGTACCCCCACACATACTCCGGTACCGGTACCCCCTGTATATACAGTTGAAGTCGGAAGTTTACATACACTTAGGTTGGAGTCATTAAAACTTGTTTTTCAACCACTCCACAAACTATAATTTTGGCAAGTCGGTTAGTATTTTTTCCAACAATTATTTACAGACAGATTATTTCACTTATAATTCACTGTATCACAATTCCAGTGGGTCAGAAGTTTACATACACTAAGTTGACTGTGCCTTTAAACAGCTTGGAAAATTCCAGAAAATGATGTCATGGCTTTAGAAGCTTCTGATAGGCTAATTGACATAATTTGAGTCAATTGGAGGTGTACCTGTGGATATATTTCAAGGCCTACCTTCAAACTCAGTGCCTCTTTGCTTGACATTATGGGAAAATCAAAAGAAATCAACCAAGACCTCAGAAAAATTATTGTAGACCTCCACAAGTCTGGTTCATCCTTGGGAGCAATTTCTAAATGCCTGAAGGTACCACGTTCATCTGTACAAACAATAGTACGCAAGTATAAACACCATGGGACCACGCAGCCGTCATACCACTCAGGAAGGAGACGCGTTTTGTCTCCTAGAGATGAACGTACTTTGGTGCGAAAAGTGCAAATCAATCCCAGAACAACAGCAAAGGACCTTGTGAAGATGCTGGAGGAAACAGGTACAAAAGTATCTATATCCACAGTAAAACGAGTCCTATATCGACATAACTTGAAAGGCCGCTCAGCAAGGAAGAAGCCACTGCTCCAAAATCGCCTTAAAAAAGTATGACTATGGTTTGCAACTGCACATGGGGACAAAGATCATACTTTTTGGAGAAATGTCCTCTGGTCTGATGAAACAAAAATAGAACTGTTTGGCCATAATTACCATTGTTTGGAGGAAAAAGGGGATCACTTGCAAGCCGAAGAACACCATCCCAAACGTGAAGCACGGGGGTGGCAGCATCATGCTGTGGGAGTGCTTTGCTGCAGGAGGGACTGGTGCACTTCACAAAATAGATGGCATCATGAGGAAGGAAAATTATGTGGATATATTGAAGCAACATCTCAAGACATCAGTGATAGATTAATTTGTGTATTAAAAATAATGACTAAAGGATTTCACCCCAAATACAGTAGAAATGTGTATACGATATTCGAATTATCATGTAGTGTCAACCCACTAACAGAGGGGGTACTAAACATTCAAGGGTAAAGGAGAAGGCGGGAACTGTTTAAGAAAGCCACCTAAAGGTGGGAGGAGCATAGTGCCTTTGTTTGTCAAGAAGTATAAAAACAGTATGTATGTGTTTTTAGGGCCAGAGCTCTCCATGAATAAACATACAAAAAATCCTTCTCCGTGGTTATGGACCTTGAATCATTGATGATTAAAACCAGAGCCTTACAACCTCTGGTAATGATTCAAGCTTAGGTCGAATTAAAGATAGAAATTCACATGACAATCAGTAAGGAAGTTAAAGCTTGGTCGCAAATGGTCCTTCCAAATGGACAATGACCCCAAGAATACTTCCAAAGTTGTGGCAAAATGGCTTAAGGGCAACAAAGTCAAGGTATTGGAGTGGCCATCACAAAGCCCTGACCTCAATCCTATAGAAAATGTTTGGGCAGAACTGAAAAAGCGTGTGCGAGCAAGGAGGCCTACAAACCTGATTCAGTTACACCAGCTCTGTCAGGAGGAATGGGCCAAAATTCACCCAACTTATTGTGGAAAGCTTGTGGAAGGCTACCCAAAACATTTGACCCAAGTGAAACAATTTAAAGGCAATGCTACCAAATACTAATTGAGTGTATGTAAACTTCTGACCCACTGGGAATGTGATGAAAGAAATAAAAGCTGAAAGAAATAATTCTCTCTACTATTATTCTGACATTTCACATTCTTAAAATAAAGTGGTGATCCTAACTGACCTAAGACAGGGAATCTTTACTAGGATTAAATGTCAGGAATTGTGAAAAACTGAGTTTAAATGTATTTGGCGAAGGTGTATGTAAACTTCCGACTTCAACTGTAGCCTCGTTATTTTATTGTGTTACTTTTTTATTAATTTTTACCTTAGTTTATTTAGTAAATATTTTCCTAACTCTTTCTTGAACTGCATTGTTGGTTAAGGGCTTGTAAGTAAGCATTTCACGGTAAGGTCTACATCTGTTGTATTCGGCGCATGTGGCAAATAAAATTTGATTTGATTTGATGCAAGGCCAGTCTCAGCCTCAGGCATAGACAAACAAGCTCCAGGGCCTAACATGGGGAGTGAATGTGTAATGGAGGATTTAGTCTGAAGCTGACTGTGTGTGCTATTCATTGTCATGCCCGCCCATACTTAAAACACTATCATTATTCTATCATTATGAAGCTTTCTGACAGGGAGTCTAGCTAAGAGAAGTGTGGGAACTGCTGTTCTAGCGTAAACAGTGGCTTTCTGAGAGCTGTCATACACACACACACTCACATCCAAACACACACGCACACACACCGAACACAGAGTGATTTTCTGTTCAATCTCATCTTCCTAATAGCCCTCCTCTTTGGTCAAACTACAGAGAATCCTTCCACCTGGCAGGCCTCTAACAGTGAAAGGATATCTCAGTGTTTGTATGAATAAGCCCCTGGATGTCTGCTCTCCCTCTCTCTCCCTCCTTCAAACACCCTCCCATCACTCCTGAATTATATTAGCTGTCTCTCCAAAGACACACACTAATGTATTCGAAGATATCTGTGGCTGCCAATGTCTTTGAAATCGTCTGAATTGCAGAAACAACACAAAGAGAAGTCAAGGGCACCTGTGCTGTCTCACTGCTCCTTTTCTAGAGTTATTAATGAAGATGTTCCTTTCCATATTTCTGTCCAGAGTTGAGATGTTAGCTTTTAGAGTTACAGCCAAACTCAGCATTTAGCCGTAAAGTCTGTTTGTCCCCCTGAAGAGCCTGTTAATGCCTTAGTGCGTGGGTCTGATCAGCCAGAAAGAACCAGGCAGTAAATTGTGTTCCATTGGAATGTGCTCAGCATTCTGAACTCTAAATGTTCTCTTGCATATGTACTGGTGGTTATTTGAAAGCACTCTGAATAAGAACATCTGCTTTGTACGCAATGTTTGGAACCTGCTTTACAAATACACTTTTTAATTATTGTATACCAATCTAGGTCACACTTTATTTGGATAGTCTGGTAGTCCATCTGTAGATGGTCTACAGATGGTCATACTATCAACAAACTATCTGTTGATAAGCAACTGCTTGCTAAGGTTAAGGTTATGTTTAGAATAAGGGTTAGGGTAAGGGTTAGGGCTAGGGTTTGGAGATAGTTAGTTGAAATGTTACTGATAGTCTGTAGAGCATTTACAGATGGGCTATTCAAATAAAGTGTTACCGAAATCTAAGAACTTGTTGTGTCTTACTAATGCCTTCCGAGAAACTATTTTCTCCACGAGGTAAGACAATCTATTATTATACTATGTGGAATGACAACAACCCGCTTCTTTGTGCATTTACCCATCCTGCAGTACATTGTGGTCCCTTTTCAGCTTCATTGTGATTGGTGGATGTGGTTATGTGCATGTGTCATGTCCCTTGCTTGCATCATGACTTGTTGATGATTGTGTAACGTGTTGCATCCATGTGGAGCGGTTGTAACACTGTGCCTTGTGGGACTCCATATGCTCTTTCGTTCTACACGGACTCCCTATAAGCCACACTTTGACATGTTTTTGATGTTGCAACATTCTGCAATGTTGTACAGTGTTGCACACAGATGCAGTTAGAAATGGTATGTCAGGAGTTTTCTTTTGCTCCAGGTCATGTGAAATGTCTATATATTCCATTTATATCTGCAACATTCCATTGGTGACTGTAATGTTCTGTGTATCTGCAACCTTGCGTAAAACTAGAAATACCTTGATTGAATGTGCCCTCACAATACCCTCATTTATATCTTACATGCTCTCCCTCTCCCTCCTTCCCTCTCGCTCTCCAGTCGACCAGAGTATGTTTGAGAACTCCAACGCCTCCAGAGCTCCAGGCCAGGGGCTCCAGGCCTCCAGGTTGACCCAGGCCTCGGCCCGTCGCTCCCTGGTTACAGCTAACACTGGCCTGTGTAGCGGCCCTGCCGAGGCCCCATCCTCCACCACTACCAATGGAAGTCAGCAGAGGCTGAAGAACGCCCTGAACCTGGGAAAGGCTGTTGGGGCAAAGGTCAATGACCTGCTGCGAAGGAAAGAGCCCAGTCATATAGGAGACATCGGTGTCACAGAGGTCAACAAGAACGTAGGAGCAATCTGGAGCAATATGGAGGAGATGACCCAGCGGACTACTTCCAATAGGTAAGGAGGGATACACAATTACAGAACACACACATACACAAACTCACACTCGGGACTACTGCCTAAAGGTGAGGAGGGGTACACTAAAAGACACACACACAGGAGGGATACAGTAAAACACACACACAACCACAAACATTTGCAGATCACACATACACACAAACACGTCCGTCATGTGTCTGGGCCCATAGTCATAACCCAGCTTTCAGACACTGTGCCCTGGAGATTCAACCCAATATTGGTTTTATCCAAAGAGTAAAACTGAGAGACAGCTAGTTATTTCTAAAAACCAATATTGTATTATTCTGTCTAAAGTGGAATGATTTAAGCTGGGAAAGAGTAGTCATCCTCTCACTCCATATAAAAGATCATAACCGTTGAGTCAAAGATGTTTAAATTATTCATCTGAATTTTTCCAAACTGGGGTCGTGAATAAGTGATGAAGAGTAAGAGGAGGGTTAGTTAGACTGAAGCTGAGATTAAAGAACACACACACACACACAGAGAGAGACTGAATGAGACATATTTGAGAGTTGAATTGCCTCACTTCTAATGTTAATCATACACAGTGCACGCACACACACAAGCACACTCACCCTTGGGTCTCGCTTAGTTTAAAGACACAGAACGAGCTGTCCGTCTATGCTGTAGCTGGTCATTTATCTGTCTGTCTCTTGATTGACACTCAGTCACCACCCTGACACATCGTGCCAGGTCAGACATTTCTCATAGAATCATAGAATTGGTCAAACCGTGATGTGTGTTTAGACACTGATGTGTTGAGAAATGTGAATTGTCTGAATACAGTGAGGGAAAAAAGTATTTGATCCCCTGCTGATTTTGTACGTTTGCCCACTGACAAAGACATGATCAGTCTATCTTTTTAATGGTAGGTTTATTTGAACAGTGAGAGACAACAAAAAAATCCAGAAAAACGCATGTAAAAAATGTTATAAATTGATTTGCATTTTAATGAGGGAAATAAGTATTTGACCCCTCTGCAAAACATGACTTAGTACTTGGTGGCAAAACCCTTGTTGGCAATCACAGAGGTCAGACGTTTCTTGTAGTTGGCCACCAGGTTTGCACACATCTCAGGAGGGATTTTGTTTCACTCCTCCTTGCAGATCTACTCCAAGTCATTAAGGTTTCGAGGCTGACGTTTGGCAACTCGAACCTTCAGCTCCCTCCACATATTTTCTATGGGATTAAGGTCTGGAGACTGGCTAGGCCACTCCAGGACCTTAATGTGCTTCTTCTTGAACCACTCCTTTGTTGCCTTGGCTGTGTGTTTTGGGTCATTGTCATGCTGGAATACCCATCCCACGACCCATTTTCAATGCCCTGGCTGAGGGAAGGAGGTTCTCACCCAAGATTTGACGGTACATGGCCCCGTCCATCGTCCCTTTGATGCTGTGAAGTTGTCCTGTCCCCTTAGCAGAAAAACACCCCCAAAGCATAATGTTCCCACCTCCATGTTTGACGGTGGGGATGGTGTTCTTGGGGTCATAGGCAGCATTCCTCCTCCTCCAAACACGGCGAGTTGAGTTGATACCAAAGAGCTCGATTTTGGTCTCATCTGACCACAACACTTTCACCCAGTTCTCCTCTGAATCATTCAGATGTTCATTGGCAAACTTCAGACGGCCCTGTATATGTGCTTTCTTGAGCAGGGGGACCTTGCGGGCGCTGCAGGATTTCAGTCCTTCACGGCGTAGTGTGTTACCAATTGTTTTCTTGGTGACTATGATCCCAGCTGCCTTGAGATCATTGACAAGATCCTCCCGTGTAGTTCTGGGCTGATTCCTCACCGTTCTCATGATCATTGCAACTCCACGAGGTGAGATCTTGCATGGAGCCCCATGCCGAGGGAGATGACAGTTATTTTGTGTTTCTTCCATTTGCGAATAATCACACCAACTGTTGTCACCTTCTCAGCAAGCTGATTGGCGATGGTCTTGTAGCCCATTCCAGCTTTGTATAGGTCTACAATCTTGTCCCTGACATCCTTGGAGAGCTCTTTGGTCTTGGCCATGGTGGAGAGTTTGGAATCTGATTGATTGATTGCTTCTGTTGACAGGTGTCTTTTATACAGGTAACAAACTGAGATTAGGAGCACTCCCTTTAAGAGTGTGCTCCTAATCTCAGCTCATTACCTGTATAAAAGACACCTGGGAGCCAGAAATCTTTCTGATTGAGAGGGGGTCAAATACTTATTTCCCTCATTAAAATGCAAATCAATGTATAACATTTTTGACATGCGTTTTTCTGGATTTTTTTGTTGTTATTCTGTCTCTCACTGTTCAATAAACCTACCATTAAAATTATAGACTGATCATTTCTTTGTCAGTGGGCAAACGAACAAAATCAGCAGGGGATCAAATACTTTCTTCCCACACTGTATGTGTGTGTGTGTGCGTGCATGTGTGCATGTGCGCGCTAGTGCGTGTGTGTTTGTCAGCCAGTAAGTGGTAGGTCACGTATAGACAGAGTAGTCATAAATGACTGGTATGCTTTGCGGTGACTCACTCCTCATCACTATGGCAATGATATGGTTGTCACCATGGCAATATGCTCATTTGTAGGGGAACGGTAGAGAAATAAACACACAGTCCCACAGCATAGAGAAGGGGGAAGAGAACGAGTGGAAGTTAGACAGTAGGATGAGAACAAGTGAGAGAGAGAACTGAGTGACGCCGAGCGATTGAACAAATTGAACAAATTTGTTCTTATTAAAGTTACAGTAGTAATGGATGTCTCTTCCTCTTCTCTCTCCCTCCAGTCATGCCTTTCTGGACTCCTTCCCTCGTCTGGACCCCCCTCCCCCCGGTAAAAAGCGTCTTCCTCGCACCCTGAAGACTACCCAGGACATGATGATCTCATCTGACCCCGTCGTCACTACACCCCCCGAGACCCCCGATCACTCCCTCCTCTCCTCCCCCATCAAGACCTCCCTCATCAGCAATGAGCAGACCCCACCCCAGGGAGAGAAGTATGGAGAGAATGACAGAGGGAGAGACACACTCACCGGACTGACTGGCCCTCTGGACAGCGAGAGGAAAGAGGAGGTGGAGATGGAGAGGAATGGGAGCAGTGAGATGGATGGAGTGGAAGGGAATGAGATGGAGGAGAGGAGAGAGGGAGAGCAGACCCAGATTCAGCTCCAGCTCTCTGTCCCAGACCTCATCCATAAGGATCACGTGGTCCCCCCCAGGTCGAAGACGTCTGAGCCCAGGCAGAAGGCCCCGGGAGCAGACACGAGGCTAGCCTCGACCAACCTAAAAGCTCCGTAAAGGATCAGTCTGAGTGTGAGTGAGGATGGGCTGATGGAGAACATCCATATGTAGGAGAGGATCAGCAGTCACAGACACAGAGGAGCCTGAACAACACCCCGACCTGCTCTCCTTTGAGTAGACACACACACACACACACACGGATACATACATACACACACAGACTCTGAACCTCTGGAGAGAGGGAGAGATAATGGGAACAGTGATGTGGAGAGGAGCTGGCAGAAGGAGAGGAGAAGACAGAGATTGTTTGTGTGAGAATAAGAAAGGGAGAGAGGATGTTTTTGACTAGACCCTAGACTAGGATTAGGGTGATCACTAGTTACTACAGCCACAAAGTCATAAACCCCACCTATTTCTACAATTTCTCTTCTTAAAATGTGATTTTCAACCTTAACCCTAACCTTAACCACACTGCTAACCTTATGGCTAAGCCTAACCCTAAATAAAGACCAAAAAGCACATTTTTGTTTTCATGAATCTTTACGATATAGATAATTTTGACTTTGTGGCTGTTAGGGGATAGGGGAGAGAGATATAGATCAAGATGTAGTGTGTTTGTTTGAGTGAGAGTTGGATATAGTGGGAGAGGAGTGGATAAACGAAGGGTATGTGTGAGAGATGTAGCAAGAGAACAAGACAGAGATGGGGAAAGAGTATCTATTTTAGCATATCATTAAAAAACATACCAAACCTTTTCAAGAGAACCACAACCTCTTGGTCTGCCAAACATTGTTTTATAACACTGTTTTATGTCATGTTTTATAGTGTTAACTTTACAACATAATGTAGAAGGAAGATGTATACCCAAGCATTCTAGATTTCTAAAATAATCTATTTGAAATGTCATAGTGCCCTTTCATGCTGAGAGAGAATGTATTTTTTTGGATCTTTTATAACTGATGCCCTTCAGAAAATATATCAAGCCTTCGGCTGGGAAAATGAAAACCAAAGTGAACATGACATTAACACTGACTGTAATTTGATGCTGTTGTGTTGGTGATGTCATCCTCATTTTCACAACATAAATTGAGATATGTATTGTGGAAAACATGCAATTGGGTTTGTTCAGCCTGTACAATATGTGTGTTTGATTTACATTTGTTGATCGACAGCTATGGTTTTAGTAGTGCCACTCACAGTCCTGTTGTTTGATTTCCTTCTTATGTGTCATGTATGTTGTCATTTGTTTTGAGCCTCTGAATCCTTCTGCTAAAAGATTATGGCACCAGAGACAACACGCACACACACACACACACACACACAGGACACACCCTAGCAGAGAAAGGAGTCTTTGTCTGGAGCTGCAATTCTCACTCACAGCCTCCTTGCCCCTCTACTCATCCACTCCTCCTCTTTCCATCTCCTCCACTCCTCCCTGAGATGGCCAAAAAGAGAGTGGATCTGGTTGTTCGTAGCACAGATGAATAAGACTTTACATCAGTGTCTCGCAAAACTGAACTTAGATCAGCGTGTCTGGAGAATTACTACTCCAAAAGAACAAGGCATAGGTATTCTGTGTGGGGTGGTTTAGGGTGTGTGTGTGGATCTGTGCTTCCATCAGTCAGCACACAGAGTATTAGTCTGAACCCAGCATCTCTGGAATAGCGAGAGAGAGGGAGAGAGATGACAGCATAAAGATTGATAGAATTGGGAAATTATTTTCATCAAGATTGTTAGCATATTGTATTGTATCAACCCAGTGTTTTCCAAACGGTGGGCCATGGCTGAAAACTAAACTGTGACTAGAAACATGGTTTTGTGTGTTTGGAGATTTGACAGACTATGTATTTCATAATGGTAAACAAAATGCTTGGCATCCACTGTATTTTCAACTATTTGTTTCAGATGGTGTTTGATTATTTGTTTGATAAGGCAACCTAATCATAATCATGATGTAAAGTAAAGCAATAATTCACATATATGAAATAATTAATATGTTAATCCAACATTGTTTGTGGAGTCTAGACGGGTGTTGTCGTTATATCGTTATTTCTACATGAGAAACCTAAGGAGGACAGGTGGTTAAAAATCTATGTTTTACAGCATCAACACCTAGCTTATCTGTATCAATACTATGCTGACCACTTATGTTATATCAGATCTTGAAATGTGAAGGAATATACTGTACATTTATGGAAATATTTTTGACACCTTTATAACGATTTATTTTGAAATACAATTTAGTCATAAATCTAGTTGGAAAATGTTATATTTAGCTAGTTGTAAAGACATTTGATTGAAACGGAATGATATGACATACATTTGATTTGTTATGATTGATTTATGCATTATTGTAATTGTTGTTTTAAGTTTTGTATTCTACAAGATGGTCGATATAATTTCACTACTCCACGGTTGAATGAAGGAAAGACATAATGAGCAAGGATGATTGTGTGTGTGTGAGCGAGAGAGAGAGCGCAAGAGAGACAAAAACAAGCTTGTTATGTATTCTGTATGAGACTTATGGACAGTTCTGATGAAGCCCTTTCGCTATAACAGTTTTACTATTCATTATTTGTAATACAGTCGCCTTCAATTTTAAGAAAATATATTGTGTAACAACAAATCTGTGAGATATATATATATACAGTGCATTCAGAAAGTATTCAGACCCCTTGACTTTTTCCACATTTTGTTACGTTACAGCCTCATTCTAAAATGGATTTTAAAAAATAATAATAATAATCTACACACAATACTCCATAATGACAAAGCGAAAACAGGTTTGTAGAAATGTTTGCAAATTCATTAAAAATAAAAAACAGAAATACCTTATTTACATAAGTATTCAGACACTTTGCTATGAGACTCGAAATTGAGCTCAGGTGCATCCTGTTTCCATTGATCCTCCTTGAGATGTTTCTACAACTTGATTGGAGTCCACCTGTGGTAAATTCAATTGATTGGACATGATTTGGAAAGGCACATACCTGTCTATATAAGGTCCCACAGTTGACAGTGCATGTCAGAGCAAAAACCAAGCCATGAGGTCGAAGGAATTGTCCATAGAGCTCTGAGGCAGGATTGTGTCGAGGCACAGATCTGGGGAAGGGTACCAAAAAATGTCTGCAGCATTGAAGGACCCCAAGAACATAGTGGCCTCCATCATTCTTAAATGGAAGACGTTTGGAACAACCAAGACTCTTCCTAGAGATGGCCATCCGGCCAAACTGAGCAAATGGGGGAGAAGGGCTTTGGTCAGGAAGGTGATAGTCACTGACAGAGCTCCAGAGTTCCTCTGTGGAGATGGGACAACCTTCCAGAAGGACAACCATCTCTGCAGCACTCCACCAATCAGCGCTTTATGGTAGAGTGGCCAGACGGAAGCCACCTTTCAGTAAAAAGGCACATGACAGTCTGCTTGGAGTTTGCCAAAAGGCATCTAAAGGACTCTCAGACCATGAGAAACAAGATTCTCTGATCTGATGAAACCAAGATTGAACTCTTTGGCCTGAATGCCAAGCATCACATCTGGAGGAAACCTGGCACCATCCCTATGGTGAAGCATGGTGGTGGCAGCATCATGCTGTGGGGATGTTTTTCAGCGGCAGGGACTGGGAGACTAATCAGGATCGAGGGAAAGATGAACGGCGCGAGAGATCCTTGATGAAAACCTGCTCCAGAGCGCTCAGGACCTCAGACTGGGGCGAAGGTTCACCGTCCAACAGGACAACAGCCCTAAGCACACAGCCAAGACAACGCAGGAGTGGCTTCGGGACAAGTCTCTGAATGTCCTTGAGTGGCCCAGCTAGAGCCCGGACTTGAACCTGATTGAACATCTCTGAAGAGACCTGAAAATAGCTGTGCAGCGATGCTCCCCATCCATCCTGACAGAGCTTGAGAAGATCTGCAGAGAAGAATGGGAGAAACTCCCCAAATACAGGTGTGCCAAGCTTGTAGCGTCATACCCAAGAAGGCTGTAATCGCTGCCAAAGGTGCTTCAACAAAGTACTGAGTAAAGGGTCTGAATACTTATGTAAATGTGATATTTATGTTTTTTATTTTTAGTAAATTTGCAAAAAATATATAAAAAACACTAACTCTTGCTACTGGAAAATATAAAGTTGAAAAATGAAATATAACTCCTTGTACCTGTAACTTATGGACCAAACAGAAGAGACTTTGCTCTCTTCTCTTCTCTCTTCTGTCTTTTCAGAAGCTTTCCTGTCTATTTTGGGCCATATCCTGTTGTACTTCTTTCCCTCACACAACCATGGCAACTTGTGTCACATTCAACACTGCCACTGTGACATCTTGTTATGTTGAATTAATATCCTTGAAAGGGGAGTGGAGACGAAAATCAAATATAATTTGATTTTCTTTGCAATCACCCATATTTATGTATCCCTCCATACTTGCAGAATGACGATTTAACCCTCCCGTTGTCCTAGGGTCAAAATGACTTTAAAGAAAGTATCACTGCCTCCTTCTCACAAATGATCCCAAAAATAAAAATAAAAAATAAAGTTGGTTCAACACAGTGGCGGGTCATTTTGACCCTAGGACAACGGGAGGGTTAAGAGCAGAGGCAGAAATGAAATGGCAAAACAACACATTTCACTGACTGCACCTATCCGGTGTATGTGACAATAAAACATCTTAAAATACTTTCATGTTGAAATGTCTTTTTGCATTTTGCTAGAGGATATTTATTGGGCTGCTAAAATACATTCCATTCACCATGCTTACCATATATTGAAAACAGTGGCTTCTTTTCTTGTATACCTTTTCTATGCTGTACTGTTTGGCACATGTTTTTTGTATGCTGGGGAACTGATGATAGTTAGATTACAAGATCTAGCTAGGACCCTGGTTTAAACCTAATATCTCCTGTCACTCTTCTCTGAAAGCTCGATGTAGAACCAAAATAAAGAGGCTACACTGTATAACTAATTTATATTGTCCAACCTCATTTGATGGCCTTGACTTTGCATACATCCTCTCTTACAGAATGGCATTTCTATTGCCTTCAAATGCTGCATTGCCTTCTAATACTG